ATTTCTTCATATTAATCAATATGGTTGAGTCTGTCCCTTTAATCTGTGCTTCCCATCTCTCAGCTGCAACTACAATTGGGCGTCTGACAGGAAGGCACAACTCCGACGTTTCTTTCATGTTGGCAAGTGGCAGCATTTCTCCAGTTTTCCCAAGTCCCCGCCAACCCCAAGCCATTGAGTCCAACCGGCATTCAGCAAGTGGTACATCCATTGCAGAGAGGACTGAATGTTTCATCTCTACTTCCCAGCTCTCTGCTACCTTGATCTGGAGCAATGGTGAGCCCAATGGTGGATTGCAGAGAGGTGTGGCCCTGCTGTCACCCTCCACCTCTTCCTCCGTATCTGAGTCTGAGAAGGTGGCACAAGAAAGACCTTTCGAAAAGGGCGATCTAGTCCACTCCTGGAATTGTCTACCACCTTCCTCAGAGTTGGAAATCAATTTCCAATAAGTGGGAGGCCCCGTTGGGTTCCTGGTAATATATCAGGTGCCCGGAGGGTCCACTGTTTCAGGGGCTAAAATGACTTTCCAGACTTGTGGGATCGCTTGGAGTAAGCATGTCAGTTTCTCTTCCACATTTCTCAGATTACCTAACACCAACCTCAAATCTTGGCCCGACTTCCATGACCCCAAGGTTTTATCCCACAGATCTCTAATCCTTAGGACGCCCCTGCGAATCCAGGCCTCCCCAAAAGACCCTGATTCCTTGTTGGCTCTGAAACGATCTCCCGCATGGTCTGTAATGGCTGGATTATCGAACAACGGCTGGCCCAGGACCTCTTCTTTTGTAGAGGGTTCTGTCCACTCCGTCGGCCTGACTTTCCTTCACGCTTTCACCACATCAGACCAAAATTTTGAACCGATTCTTCTATTCACATATGAGTCCAGCTGTAAGCACAACCAAATGTCCTCCTCCCGCTCCAAATCCCATTCAGATACCAGGATGTGCTCCCCCATCTGCAGCCAATGCTCCGTGTTGTCGCACTCCGAAGCTTTAACTACCCAGTTTGCTAACTGAAGGATATTTCTGCGCTCCGGGTCCACAATATCCAGACCCCCCTTATCCCTGGGCTGAGCGATGAGTTCCCATGCAACCTTTGAAATGAAGCCCCTTTCCATCTCCCCCCTTGGCTTCCAAACGAACCGAGCAGACAATCTCTTGATTAACGCTATAAAGGAGGGACTTGACAAACGCACCGTTCCCACGAAGCTAATGAGCGAAAGAAGGGAAGTACTAAAAGCAAGTGCACGGCCAAAGGTGGACAGGTGAGGTGCCCCACCCCAAACTTTCATCCTAGAGACCACCCTGTTCTGAAGCAATTCCTCCTGGGTGTCCTGACAGTTACTCAGTGCAACCATCACTCCCAAAAACCTTTCTGCCTCGCCTTTATTGATACGCCTCATACCCCAATCCACCTCTAGATCCAGCTCTTGTGGGAGGAAGTAAACTGTCTTCCTGCAGTTGACTGCTGCTTCCGAGAATAGAGAATACTCATCCAACAAAGTTTTCAAAGCTTCCAGCGCCGTCGAGGAATTCTCACAAATAGCCAGTAAATCATCAGCAAGTGCCTTAGCCTTACACTCAGAACCCTTCAGGGCTAAGCCCACAATCTCCGGGCGGCATCTGATATTGCACATGATCACCTCCAGTTGGATAACAAAGAGGAGGGGGGCCAAGGGGCAACCTTGTCGTAGAGAGTGGGTCAGTGGGAAAGGATTAGACAGCAGGCCGTTTACCATCACTACTGCAGTGGAATGTGTATACAGCGCAACTACCCATCTGCATAAATTTACGCCAAAGCCCATTTTGCGTAGGGTAGTGAGCACAAAGCTCCAATTTACCCTATTGTAAGCTTTCTCCAAATCTAGCAGCAAAATGGATAACGGTTTGTTTTCCTTATCCACAATTTCCAAGGCTTCTATCGCAGTGACAATATTCACAAAAATAGAGCGACCCTGCACAAAGGCTGCCTGGTCCTGACCTACTAACTCTGGTAGATACTTAGCTAATCTTCTCGCCAGCGCTTTAGCTAAGATTTTATACGACACATTCAGTCTGGAGATTGGCCTCCAGTTACGAATCTCATTTGTCGCCCCTTTCTTGAACAACAAGGTGATCACGCCATGACACATACTAGCAGAAAGTTTGCCTCCTGTTAAGACATCGTTGTACATTTCTGCTAGGGTACTTCCGAATTCCGACCAAAACCGTAGAAAAAATTCTACAGAAAGACCGTCAGAGCCGGGGGCTTTACCCTTGGCCATAGATTTTGCAGCGTACTTGATCTCTATCTCAGTTACCGGACGATCTAAATCCAATCGACCAGTCTGCAGGAGCTTAGCTGACACCACATCCCATAAGTCAGATAAGTGCATCTGACCAGAAGTCAGTTCTTCCGGGCTTCTTCTCGACATCAAGATGTCGCAATAATATTCTTCTGCATAACTGCACATCTCCCTTAAGGTGGAAGCTGGGGGGGCTTGCTGATAAAAAAGGTGTTGCAGAACCTTCATCTCTTTGTGTGAATAACGGGGGAGCAGTCTCTGAAAAGTTTGCTTGGTCATACGATCGCCGGTGGCTATCCCTTTCACTGTCAGGATTTCCTTCCATCTATTCGATCTGGCCTCCTGGATGTCGTCCCATGTCCGCATTCATTCAACACGTATTTCACCCCACCAGTGGGCGTCAGATGACCTTGGTGGCACAAGCGCCAGCGCTGATTCCGCCTCCTCCACTGCTTTCTTTGCCTTGGCTTCCTCTTTGTTATCATGAAGAGCAAGGATCTGGGAAAACACACTAAGCATGCTTGAAATAGAGCAAATGCATGCGTCCCACCACAACTGGATACTCGAAAAACTATCCTCCTTCTCTGTCCAGGCTGTAATTTGGTCCCTGACCCAAGTGCGGACTCCAGGATCATTGATCGTAGCTACGTTCAGCCTGAACAAGCCTTTCCCTCTCTCCGGACCTTCACCCCAAAGAAATTGCAGGATGACAGGGCTATGGTCTGAGAGGGGGTGAGGGTGGGTAGAGACGTCAATAGTGTTATTCCCGATGGTACTGCTAGTCAATAGATAATCCAGCGTACGCGGAGCCACCCGTCTCCCTGACAGGAGTTGGGACGAGAACCAAGTAAACCCTGGGTCCGTGGAATTAGTTAACCTGAACGGGTCCGAAAGCTCAAGATCTGAAACCAAGTCAAGCAGAACATCAAGATCTCTGTCTACGCTGCCCGAGCTGAATACTGGGTTAGCATCGTCCAGGGCTACATTCCAATCGCTTGCTACAATCAGGTCATCTACGTCAGGGAGAACGTCCGGTAACAACTCCAAAAATTCCCTTCTTTCAGTTCTATCGGTAGGCGCATAAATCGAGATTACCGCCCAATCTTTGCCTTCTGAAGAAAGCTTGACCCATGCCCAACGTCCTTGTTGATCAAAATCATGATCGACAATACAGACGTCCAGATTCCTATGGAGTAGTATTGCAACTCCCCCCCTTGACTCTTGGGCAGGTGCCCACACCTGCGGTCCATCCCACCAAGCACCCAGGGTCATGATTTTATCATAATCCAACTTGGTTTCTTGGAGGCAGAGGATTGAAATCCGATTGGAATGAAGCCACGACTTTAACCTTGACTTCTTGTTTCGCGAACCCGTGTCCCCCAGTCCCCGGATATTCCACGAAGCTACTTTAATTAGGTGCATTATTAGAGCCGTGTTGGGGTTGCTGAGATTGGATGCGCAGAGATGGCAAAGGTGACGAAGTCAGAGAAGACCGAGTCTGGTTGCCAGTGTCCCAACCCTGCGTCAAGAAGGATTGAAAGAAGGACGAGTGGAGGGCTCTTAACTTAGGGATCTTCTGGGAGATACTTCCCAAATAGGAGGCATCCAAATCATGAAGGAATTTAATCCATTTTAGATTCGGATGGTCCAAGTGAACCAACCACTCCCTTGGGAAGAGGCGAAGACCCTGACCGACCAGACGAATAAGCACATCTTGTGCAATCCTGGCGTCTAACAACGGAGTAAATAACTTCAACTTCTTCCCAGAGTTCTCAACAAAGAATCGTGGGGTCGGGATGTCAGGAATATTCCTGACAGCGATTTCGGATCCGTAAAGCCGACGCGTATGATTGAGAATTTCTAACGGCATAGGAGGAGAGGAGATCGGATGTGAAGGGAGAGTAGAGCTCACGGAATCTGCCGCCCACGCCAAGACAAAAGTGCCTTCGGCCGTAGCTAAGAAGAGAAGTGGGAGAAGATGTTTCTCCCAATCTCGACCACCGCCCTTGGAGACGGTCTGCTGTCTACGATGGCGTTTCGATGAGCCCGGAGCTGTGTCAATACGCGTATCCTGTTTCGACACCGAAGATGACGAGCATTCGTCATCGATCTCTTCTTCAATTCTGAGGGTCCTCATGTCTTTGCTCAATCTCCTCCTCAACTTAGTTGGAGTTGTCTCTGTTCGCTGCTCATGGTGAGAACTCGAGGCTGCGTTCGATCTGTCTTGTTGGTGAAAACCCTTCAGTACGCCCCCGCCATCCAGTTCCTCTCCTAAGGTGCTCCGCCGTGCCCTTGCTGGGAGAGCTGGTCCACCACCCCTTTCTGTTTCCTCAACGTGACTTGATCGGCGAACCTCTTCGACATTAGCGTCCGATGGCACATTCGAGGGGCCCGGGGAAAACATCGGATTATCCCTCAGCACTCCTCCTAGCTCTCCTCCTTGGAACGAGGACCCGTCACCGCCGGCCCCAGTTCTAAGCGATCCTGAGTATACCGGCTGCTTAGATCTGCTCCTAGACGAACTAGGAGCCTTCGACGGCTCGCTCGAGGCTTTTTCCGAGTGATGCGACTTCATAGACGGATGATCATCATGACTGGACGAGGCGTGTGAGTTCTGCTGCTGACTGCTACTAGATCCTGATGATGTACTTGGTGATGGCGTTGGGACTCTAGCTCTCCGCTGCCTCGTGCACTGATCCGCCAGGTGATAGTAGCGTCGACACTTGCTGCACCACGGGGTCTGGGCGTTGGCAACCTTCAATTCAATCACTTGACCTTGGAACGTCGTGAAACACAGTTTCCTTCAGTTTTGGAAGCGCATCCACTGCCATATCAATCCTAACGTTGATTAGCTGAGGGGTCCTTGCATCACGCTCCGGGGGGTAAACCTTGATAACCGGACCAATTGAAAGTTCGGCGGCTGATTCCAGATAGCAGAACGCGTCTATCGGGACGTCCAAAATCTTGATCCAGAAATAAGTTAGAGAGGCCTCCTTCCTTGCTTCTTGAATTTCTTTCTTCGTCAACCAAGGTTTGAAGGCGATGCTGTGCCATCTCCCTCGCAACGCCACTCGAGTTTCTCCCTCCTGTAACATCCATTGCGTCACCATGACATCCTTCGCAATGTAGGACAGCACATTGCTGGATTCGATACAGACACGGCCACGGGTGATGGACTGCTCGAAACGCTCTTCGCCCATCCAGATGTCCTCGTAAGCGCGGATGACCTCCTCCTTCATCTTCCTCGGCAGATTTTTAGATCCCTCCTGGAAAATGACTGTTACAGTACGTTTCTTCAGCCACCTAACTTTAATCTCATCCAACGAAGGATTGAGTGTAAAGTGTGCTGTGGTGCCCTCCTCCTTCAGTTCCCCGATATCCCATCCGGATGGGAGGATGCCAATGTCGAAGCATTTGGCAAGCATATCCCTCACTCTCTCCTCCTCAGCCCAGTAATTGGTCTGGGCTTGAGGGGGCGAGCGATTCTGATTGTCCACTGCTTCATCTCCTACAGCTTGTGGCTTAGGCGAGTTTGCCAGCCCATCAGCACCAATCATCCCCACGTCCAGGGGGATTCCTCCATTTTCCCTAACCGCGGTCTCCGACCGAGCTTCGTCAATTTCCATGCTCCTGCCAGTAGTTACCTACCTCACCCTCTGGGCCCTTCTTCAGATGCCCTAGAACGATAACAGATATGGAGTCAGAGTAGCGTATGTACACCACACGTAAAGAGAGAGCAGGCTCCCACGGGGCTAGCCTAACGACTCGCTAGGTCAGACATAGCTGAAACCTACGCGCGTCGCGAAACCTTCATGTCAACAGAGATGGCTGAACGAAGGTGGCTAGGCCAGTCAAAGACCGACAGTAGCGGAACCGAGCGCTAACGCGCCGTGAACCGGTACACCCCCCAGCAAGCTGCATTTTCCAAACGCCCCTTTCAAATCTACCGATACCAAAAAAAAAAAAAAAAAAAAAAAAAAAAAAAAAAAACCTACCGATACTGGTCACAACTGCGCATCCTACCTTCGCAGAAACAAGACAGTTTGTTGTGGCGACAGATGCTACAAGTGGTACCCTCAGCAGGCTGGCTGCTGGGAAACGGGAAAAAGAGCAAACATCCAATGGGAGTGTACTCGCTGCAACTGAGCCTGGGAATCCACAGACCATCTGTGGATCACCTGGCAGTGCCCCTTTTCAGCCAGTATCTGGGGTTGGTGGCAATCTATGTGGAAGAAGTTTGCAGGCACAAA